TATATATATATTCTTAAATTCTTACATTTAACTAATTAAATCATAATATATCATATTGTTCAATGATTGATATGATAAATCAATCATATAAATAATAATATCTATATTAAAATTAATAAAATATACATATTAATTCATTTCTAATTCATAATAATTCATATTAATTAATTATTAATTAAATCATACAATATATCATTGTGGAGTGATTGAGATGATAAATCAATTATTATATAAATAATATCTGTAATAAAATAAATATTTCATAATATTTTCTGTAATATATATTATTAAATCCTAACAGTTAAATCATACAATATATCATATTGGGCAATGGTTGATATGATAAATCAATTATATAAATAATAATAATTATATTTTTGTGTGTGTGTGTGTGTGTGTGTGTGTGTGTGTTAAATCAAAGTGAATAAATACTGTTTTAAATATTTCAAAATACTTCCTATAGTTAAATGCATTTAAAGCATTGTTATATCTTTAAACCATGCAGTACAGTATATCATCGTATTTAAATGATTGATATGGTCAGATATGTCACAAGTTGCAGTGGATTTGTTTCGAGGACTGCTTGTGATTTTGTTGGGAGTCTGAGTCAGAGAGCCTCACTCAGTATGTACACCAGAAGGCTACATACACTGCTGGCTGACTGTACTGTTTCCATGGTTACCATTACAGGTTTTTGCTCTCTTTGCTACTGCAAAGTCGTCAGTGGAAGTGTACAAGAATGTTTCAGAGAGTGAATTTTTGGTGCAGAGGCTTCAAAAGAAAACATTCAGAACAATTGCAGTACGCACTTGTTTTCGAATGCGAATAATCGCCTCGAGCTCTCTATGGAAATCTCTGGAAATGAAACTATGATGGCAAATATGATGTAACAGAGCCACAGCTGCTCATTAAAATATCAAAAAGCATACTGCGTTCCTCCAATTGGCTTCCCGCTGAGGATGGTGTAACCCTATTGTGCAGTTCAGAGGTTCTGAGGAAAGGCATTTAAAATGCATCAGCCGTCCACAGCTAAACGCACACCGCTAACAAACGCTCCGCTGCAGAAGCAAAGCCACACAATACCAGCGGTCACTTCACAAGCGATTACATAGAGATCGTTTTCAGAGTGGGCTCTTTGTCTCTCGGTGGCACGGAGCGACTGGGTATAAGCCCAGGGCAACATGGCTGGTAACTGTGTAAGTCAAGCTCTTGAATAAAATATGTTGGCCCAGATGGAAATCCACCATTGGTCGCTGGATTAGACCCACATGTCTAAAGGACTTTGTCCCGTACACAAACAAACCGTTAGGACAGTGACTAAGCACCTGAAGCATCACAACTTCATTTAGGAGGGTGGATCAAAGCACAAAGTTGTTTTACTTCCCTTGATATTAAGAGTCCTTCAAATAGGAAGCATTCAGATTAGTGTATTTATATTGTAGATTAGATAAACCAACGTTCTAAAAATCCAGTCATACTTTTTTTTTGTCCAGATGAAAGGGTACCAAATAGTTACTGAGTGTCAGCATTATAAATAAACTAATGTATTATTAAGAACGTAAGAAGGCAGTGCTGGAAACACGTTATTGGAGAATGATTGCCTGTCTACAAACACAATAAAGCACTTGCGTCTGGATACGAAATTCTCCGGTTATTCCAGTCAGAGCTCTGTACATGTTGTTTGCCTCAATTTTACAGGCAAAACCAGTACATGCCTGCATAAGAATGCTACTGATGCAATTTTATCATCTGTAGCACATCCTTTAGACCTCTTGAGACCGAAATGTCAAACGTTTAGGTTTAGGCTATAGATGCTTTAGATCATTAGGATGCGTATGTGTTAGCAGTTTATGGTATCCAAGTGTTATTACGTATAAAACTTATAATAATAAAATATCAAATGACATGGCTACTCGCCTAATAAACAAGTATGTGAAAATTAAATATTTGAGCTGAGATTATTTCATAATCATACCTTTTATCTTAAAACCTCCACAAAGGAAAAAATAGTCCAATACAATGTACAAAAAAATCAGCCTAGCAACAAGACAAACACTGCAGCAATATTACAGTAAAAGTAATACTAAAAGGTCATTTAGGTCACTGTAGCAGCACAGCTAGCTCTTTCAGCCCAAAGCTGCAAAGTTAACTTATGCTAAAAATTGCAATACTGCATAAAACATTTGCGAAGCACCGTTTCTGCCGTTGCTGCAACAGGGGGACTTTGCCATTTTTTTCCTAGATAATGACTATAAATGATTATATTTACTAAACCATCTCTCCACATTTCAGTGATGTTTTTGAAGTCAATTCTTTTCCAGAAATGATGCTTTAAAATGTGCAGACCTCACGGTTCTTCCAAACATACCAATTTTCTAAAACGATTTTCCAATCACATAATCTCTTGATGCAAACTCACATACATTGTTAAACATTTAACCCAACCGCTGGGTCAAAATAACCCAATTGCTGGGTTTCTCCCTATTTTACCCAGCACTGGGATGTATTTAACCGAGCATTTTTTAGAGTGTAGCTCAAAGATTGTGGACTGCTGTATTGCAAATACGTTTCGTCAGCTGTATCTGAAAACAGATATATTTTTGGTGAACTGAAAACTGTAGCGAACAAGCATTTCGTAATCTTTGTATCGCTGGTGGCCATGGACACTTGCAAAGATCATCATTATGAAAAGCAAAGATGAAAAGACAAGGTTTTCCCTCTTAGCCTCCAGTTACAAATACTTTTGGGAAGAAAATAAAATCTCTCGACCAAAACTGAGGTAATCTTTAAACACGAGCAGAATGTGACCATCAACAAACCAGAATCAATTACTCATTTAAACTAACAAGAGAGCCAGACCACAATTAAAAGCTGTCACAATCTTGATAGTGAAACAGTGAAATAGTCAATAATCAATATACAAATAAAAAGAGAGCTTATAATAAAAATGTAGGTCTAAACAGTCCATGTACATTTTGTTAAAATTGTGCTGCAGTAATAATGCGGCATTAGCTTGCTAACTTTGGTTTCATTAACTGATTAATGATTATATCAGTGGTTTTGATTCATTTGAGTAAATGAAATATTACATATTTTAGCTTTTTATTAATTTACAACACTGTAAGCAATAGATACATGCAGTAAACGAGCAGAATAAAAAGCCTATATTCTTGTTTGAACACATAATTAGGGCCTCAATGCTTGAATTCTATAGTTGATGAAAGTCCAAATGCAGAGAGAACAGAACAATAGACATTTCCCCCTTATTTTAAACATATAATGTCTCATTCTAGCAAATTCTTCTCATCTGTCATTGAGAACTGCCTGTCTGTGAAACCATTAGAGAGGTGTGTGGCAGCATCTACAGGCAATGTAGAGAACTACTGATATCAAAACTTGAACTTGATCATTGCATTACAGAAGGAGAACATCCTGTAACACAATTTAAAAAGCCTCTTCAGTTTTGACACACATGCTGAGATTTAGAACATGACAAACATGAAAAATACAAGTACAAATAGTAGATATACAGAGTGCTCTTATATACAGATATATGCAAAAAAAAATAGAATGTGTGAAAATAGATCTTCACAGGTACAGCAATATAAAAAAGATAAAAGATGTATGGTTTTGTTCCAGTAGGTCTAGGGTGTTCAATTATGAAATTACATATTTGCCCAATAAATTCACTGTCAAGCAGTGTTGGGGGTAACGCATTACAATTTAAGTAATGTGAGTTACGTAGATTACTTTTACAAGTAACTAGTAAAGTAACACATTACTTTTAAATTTACAACAAAATATCTGAGTTACTTTTTCAAATAAGTAATGCCAGATACTTTGCTTTCCCATTTATTCACTGACAGCTCTCCTGCACTCTAAAAAATGCTGGGTTAAATATAACCCAGCGATGGGTTAAAAAGGGACAAACCCAGCTATTGGGTTGTTTTAACCCAGCTATTGGGTTGTTTTGACCCAGCGGTTGGGTTGTTTTGAAAATATAAAAAAAAAAAAAAAGTGCAAAATAAATGCTGATTAAAAGTGCAATAAGATATAAGATAAAACAACTTCTTGGTTGAATTAAAAGGTGCATAATTGCACAACAAAGGCTCTATAGGCCAATATCCCATGGGTCGTTAAGACTAGACATCCAAAATGTTTTTTTAAGTAAATAAGTCGTATAAATATTTAAAAAAAATACATATAAAACAGGAATTTTATTACACATTAATTTGTACAGGTATCCCTAAAATGTACAAATATGAATATACATTTTGCACAATACACCGTATTACACTCAGTGGAGATGTTGCACTGTCATTGGGTGTTAACTGTTCATGAAGTACCTTTCGTTTCCCGTCATGCATGTTATCCTTAGCGGACCGTTTAAGAGGAACCAAGTACAGACGAGCCTGTTTCCGGCCGGAGGTGTGAGTGTCGTACCCCACAAGCAGCGAGGACCGACACTCGCCATTGTATGAATTTGTTGCTTTCGAGTCTTTTTCCGTTTATTTTTATTCAGTTTTTATATGCAGTTAGATTTAACAGTTCGTTGTTAAATCATCGACTCCCGTTTTTAAGGACAAAGATTGTATTTACAATTAAGGACATGGCAACAGATTCGTGGGCCCAGGCTGTCGATGAACAAGAAGCCGCGGCGGAGTCGGTGGGTTTAAACCCCAAACTCGAACAGAGCAGTTCTAGAAAGCTGAATAATTGAATCAAACATTGTATTAAGCACAATAACTCGCTTAGTCATTTAACACTCTTACTAGGTCTGTGTCCGTACAACTTTAAAGTTGTTGTGTCGCAGTAACGCTACATCGCTTGCTAAGTGTAATTTATATAATGTAGTATAACATTAGTGTAATATGAATCTATTGATATTTTAGTGACTTTTTTTTGCATTGCATACGTTGACAAATTATAGAGTATATATTTCAAAGTTTTAAAAAAATTCTTCAACTTCCTGAAATGGTAGGATAGTTGGGA